CTGGGAAGTGATCCCAGCCTCTTTCTATTTCCTCACTGTGGAGGAAGACAGCTCCAAAATGGCAGAAATTTCTAATTGACTGCTTGACAAGGGCCATCATGCACCACAGGTGTTTCCTATCTGGGCCTTCAATTGCAAAATCAGTCCCTTTTCTTTCATACTCCTGCCTGTAACTTCCTTTCGAGTGCTCATCTAACCCAACACAAAACACTCTCTGTGTAGCTCTCTGAACTGGAAGAAAGGTCTCCAGCTGCAGTTTTGTGTACACTGCTGACTGAGGGTGCCCTCCAGGTTTGTTTGCGGATATTTTAGCTAATTATCTTGCCATAGACCATTGAGACAGACCTGGATGACTGTTCAATTAGCAGTATTGAAAAAAGAATTAGGGAGAATTCCTGCCTGCACAGCTAACCCCAGTGCCAACGTTATTGCTGAGAACATTTTCTTCTGAAAGTGATTAATCACATAAATAATTCTCAGAAATGAAATTAGAGATCACCCACACATTGCACCCTGCAATGTTTTAAGATATTATTATATCCTGAAACTCTGTAATGGATTAACATTACAGTCTGGGTTGAATTCTTAGATTTTCAGCATACATCCTGCCTTGTTAGCAAGTGACCCGGTGGCCAACATGAGTTTCTGTAACAATTTGAATTAGCCATTCTAAAATCAACACAGATTTGGAACTGTCTAGGCCTCGAGATAAAACAACAATCCCTTCTCTGAAATCCCTGACTGTGCTTAATCATGCTTGCAAGTTTGTGGCAGGGCTGGACATGAGGCTCAGGTTTTCAGATCCTTCCATCCAAGCCCCTCCCTGTTCTCTGGGTAGATGGCTCCTATTAGAGCATCAGGGTTAAGGACTTGTCTATGCTAATGAAATAGTTATTCTGTTAAATGATTGCCTCATTCTTTTCATTTATAAGGAATAATCTGAACACATGCAGATTGACATCGAAAATCAATTGCAGTTAGGGCTGATTTATACAGATTTCCTTAAATACAGGAATTCTAAAAGTTAGCAGAAGGAGGCAGAGGAGACAAGGATCAGAAAGACCTGGACAAGAGGTTCTTTTTAAAAATGATGGTCTTTTTTAATTCAGTTTAATTTATTAAGGTATTTATTTATTATATTATACTTTAAGGTCTGGGGTACATGTGCAGAATGTGTAGGTTTGTTACATGGGTATACACGTGCCTTGGTGGTTTGCTGCATCCATCCCCCATCATCTACATTAGATATTTCTAATATTATCCCTCCCCAATCCCCCCACCTCCTGCTATGCATCCTCTACATGCCCCTGTGTGTGATGTTCCCCTTCTTTCTTTTCTCCAATTTATAGGCATTATCTCAGGCAAGCAAATATAAGGATCCTAGGACATTAGAGGGCAAATTAGCTATTATTTCACAGATGAAGAAACAAAGGCCCAGAGAGATTAAGTCATTTATTCACAATCACATAATTGCTTTGTGATATGAGATGACAGCTCCTATTTCATTGTGAAAGTATTCTAAAATGAAAGGAAAATTTTGGTGAAGTTATTACTCTTTGCTCAGCATTGTTATGGTGAAGACCAAGATATGAAGGGATTATAAAAGAATATGAAATGAAATCAAATGTTTAAAACCCTAGTTACATGACATTTGTCAGATTTCATTGTAAATTTTAAGATATTATCATGAAAGTGCTTTTTTAAATCTAGTGAAAAATTATTTATGAATTTTTAGTTTTTCCTGAATAAGAGAGCAGTCTTGAATAATTTTGTAGCTGGATGATAGCTATTTTGTGCATCATTAGTCATGAAACTAGATGAGTGACATACACTGATAGTTTCACTCAGGGGTTCCCAACCCCCCGGCTCTGGACCTCTACCTGTCAGTGGCCTACTAGGAAAGGGGCCACACAGCAGGAGATGAGTGGCAGGCAAGTGAGAATTACCACCTGAGCTCTGCCTAGGAGTGTGAACCCTACTGTGACTGCACATGGGAGGCTCTAGGTTGTGTTCCTTATAAGAATCTAATGCCTGATGATCTGAGGTGGAACAGTTTCATCCCAAAACCATCCCCCATCCCCTACCCCCAAACCAGCCCATGAAAAAATTGTCTTCCATAAAAACTGATCCCTGGTGCCAAAAAGGTTGGGACCACTGGTTTAACCAATTGTGTGTTTTGGGTGGGATCTCTAGGGATTTTAAGTCTCATTGAGCAATTTCTATATTGTTTTCTGCTTATTTTTCTACTCACTTTTTCTATAATTAGTAAAATAAAAATTACAAATCTAAAAAATCCTTAAAGACATAATTAGTTTGGAAAATATGATTATGCTGTGTTAACACATGAAGTTTAACACCCAACTGTTTGTATATTCTATTTTGAGGACCTTTGTGATACACTCAGAAAGCACATGATATACACTATCAAGAATTCTGCAATCTTTTCACCTAACAAAGAGTTATTAATTTAGTAGCTCTACTTATTAACAGAATACTGAAGTTGTTGGTATATTGTTAAGATTGAAAGAAAACTAGAGCCACGTTCCCAATTGTTGGGCAAGTTATGTATAAATCATTGCATTTTAAGAAATAATTTCCATGTGGGAAAAATTAACCTAGAATTAGGTAGATTTTCATTTTATATGTTGGCCCTGCCATTTGCTAGCTTTGCAGGTTTATGCAAAATGTAAAGGACGGTGTTGGATATTAAATGAGATCCTGTACGGAAATCACCTAGTACAAAGCCCGAGATATGAAATAAAAGCCTCCTACAATGTAACTTCCATGAGCATCATCATCAACATACCCGCCATCTACACTCCTTTTTAATGAAGAGCCACATATAGTATCACTTCTTTTTTCTCATCTCTAATTTTTAATTTTTGTGGGTACATAGTAGGCATATATATTTATAGAGTATGTGAGATATTGGATACAGACATGCAATGTATTATAATCACATCATGGAAAATGAGATATCCATTCCTTCAAGCATTTATCCTTTGCGTTACAAACAATCCAACTATAGTCTTTCAATTATTTTTAAGTGTATAATTAAATTATTATTGACTATAGTCATCCTGTTGTGCTATGAAATACTAAGTCTTGTTCATTTTTCTATTGGGGGGGAGCTCATTAGCCATCTCCACCCCATCCCAACCCCACCACTATCCTTCCTCTCTAATAACCATTCTTCTACTCTGTCTCCATGAGCTTGTTTTGTTCTTAGATCTTACAAGTAAGTGAGAATGTGCGGTGTTTATCTTTCTGTGCCTAGCTTATTTCACTTTATATAATGATCTCCAGTCCATCCACGTTGTTACAAATGACAGGATCTTATTATTTTTATGGCTGAATAGTACATCATTGTGTATATATACTATATTTTCTTCATCCATTCATCTGTTGATGGACACTTCAGTTGCTTCCAAATCTTGGCTACTGTGAACAGTATAGCACAATGTCTTTAAGTGGCTGTAAAATCCTGCTAGGTGGCAGGGTTGTTCTTGCTACAAAGTGGCTTTGGAATGGTGGAGATTCAGAGCAAAATCTCAGTGGTGCTGCTTGACTAGGAAAGCCATGGCTTTGGAGAAGCTCACCTGTGAAGTTACTAAAACTAGAGTGGGGGCTATAAGTAATGAGCAATGCAACATGTCCTCTCTCCCCTCCAAACAGGCATAACCATGAGTTATGGTACCCACCTCCCTAGAGGTGCTTAGTATGTTTCCATTGTTGATGATTTCATCCCCACTGCAGACTGTTTTGTTATGTGGCCCTTTCTTTAGTTTTAAATGTTTCTTTTGGAATATAGGGCTAATTCAGTTTCACTTAATGGGACTTAATCAGCAAATAAATTTAAGGCATTCTGACCACATAATGTTGTAGAGACAGCACTTAATATTATTAGTAGGCAGAATGTAATTCACTTGATTGGTATTTTTTCTGGATTGTAGAGCTTAATACTCATCCCTATCTGATGTGAAAAACGTTCACAGCCATTAATCATTGACATTGGCATGTGATTGGAAAATCTAGAAAGATACCAAATGCCAGTACATGTACACTGATATTTAGCCTTTTGTGCATTAGAATTGTTTAGATAGAAATAAACTTTCTTCTATATTTATTGTCTTATTTACCCCAAAATTACAGGCACTTTAATAAATGAAGTAATAGTTTCTAGTATCATTATGGCTGTGAAATGCATTTTGGTGCCTGTTGCTGCTATAACTGGGCACATCTATTTGTAAATCACAGAAAGTTTGTTGATGGACAGAGTGCTGAAGAGAAATGCTCTCTTTTTGTCGATACAAATAACATGTATTTTAGGACTAGTATCTACTGTGTAATGTTTGCTTCATAAGCTCAAGATTGGCCATAGCTTCTAGTAGTAGATTCCATTGTTAGGCTATAACAGCTTTCATTTTTAAGCACAAAAATCATATATGGGTATGCTTAGCTAAATAAATAATTTCGTAAGATACTAAATATTTCTTTTAGCTCATTTGCTAGGAAGTCTGGTGCCTTGTTGGAAACACGCTTCTAGGAACAGAGCAGTTTTATGACCTTAGTTTTTTTGTGAATTAATGAACAAAATAATGTGATACCAGTATTGACTAGTAGAGAAGAGAGAGCGTCTGTGGCCACATATTTTGAAATATTTTTGTTACAATTTATGTTTGCCTAGTTACATTTGGGCATTTTTCAAGCATATGCATAAGGCATTGAACCTTGGTTGGGAGAAGCTCTGAATCCTTTGAGGGCAAGTATGACGAGTGGTCTATCCTGTGATGGGGGTAGATAGCACCATCCTGGAATGCAAGCGCAGGGGTTGGAGGGCTGATAAGGGGAACGCTTAATTCTGACTGTAGCTGTAATAACAGATGATGTAACATGTGAATTAATTCAACATTTAATCTAAAATAGCTGTCAAATGTATTTCTCTGATGATAGAATCTCACCTTAATGCACATTTTTTATTTTTGTGTTTTCTGTTTTAGAGACGCCCAAGCCGATGGCCTGCAATGAAGTTTAGAAGAGGTTCTGGACATCCTGCCTATGCTGAAGTTGAACCAGTTGGAGAGAAAGAAGGTTTTATTGTATCAGAGCAGTGCTAAAATTTCTAGGACAGAACAGCACCAGTACTGGTTTACAGGTGTTAAGACTAATATTTTGCCTATACCTTTAAGACAAACAAACAAACAAACACACACACAAACAAGCTCTAAGCTGCTGTAGCCTGAAGAAGACAAGATTTCTGGACAAGCCCAGCCCAGGAAGGGTAAACAAAAAACTAAAACTTATACAAGATACCATTTACACTGAACATAGAATCCCTAATGGAATGTCATCTATAGTTCACTTGGAACATCTCCTGTGGACTTATCTGAAGTATGACAAGATTGTAATGCTTTTGGCTTAGGTGCAGGGTTGCAAAAGGATCAGGAAAAAAATCATAATAAAGCTTTAGTTCATGAGGGATCGACACTTTTGATTCAGATGTTCTCTGATGTCTCAAAGATAACAGTTTTCCAAAGCCTGAACCTTTTCACTCGAAAGAGCAATGATGAATGTTTGAAGATTGCTAAGAAAAACAGCTCATGCAGGAGTGAAAACAAACACAAATAAGAGATTTTCTGTATTTTCAAAACAAATCTGTGGCAAAAGGATGTTGTTTTTCTAGATCTTTCTGTATCAACAAGTTCATGACTTTACACGATGAATCCTTTTATTGATACAGGAGGTTCAGACTATGTCTGTCTCTTCCTTGGTAATGGGTGACCTTTCTATGAGCTGTGACAAAATTTCCAAGCTTTTAGCTAAGGATTTTGGAAGAGGGAATGGGAAACAGGGCTTTCTGTACTCCCGCCTCAGTAAAAACATCTGATTTATGCTTTATGGAAGCCTTGCCTCCATTCCCCAACTGAGAAGTCCCATGAAACCACAGTTGCTCTGGGCTGACGGAAACAAAAAGAAACAATATGAAGAGTTCCTTAATCATTTTTGAAACAAAAATGTTAAGGGATTTTAAACTTATGGTTATTTTTAATTTTTTGCCGTTTCTGTACTAAAGACCCATTTCATTGCCGATTCCTGTCTCAGAAGCCATTCACGTCAGCATGGCGATAAAAAGAATGAAAACCCCTGCTGAATCATCAGTAATTTTCTTTAAAGCACATAGTAGTTACATAAATATATATATATAAATATATTTTTGTTTATAACTAACACAAGGCAGGATCTTGTGACTCTAAGAGTGCATTTTGCCATCAAGACAAAACAGATGCAAGATGCATTGCTGCATTACTTCCATAGAGTTGTAAAATAATCCTTAATATTAGAATATTTTTCTGTCACTTAGCAAAAGTGGTTCAGTCATTGCCGCACCCATTATGTTCTTGACTATTTGATCCACTTTTTCATTCATGTCAACCCCTTCCCTCTCTGGCTAAAGTGGATGCAGAAAGCCCCTTACATGGAGCTATCTATTGCCCTGGAATCACAATCCTGACTTTGAAGATTCCCATGAATGAAGAAAGGAAAGGCATCCCTTGAGATGGAAAGTGGGTAATATGTATACTGAGCTCCTAAAGTCCAAATTCAGGTACTGAGTGTACAGCTTCACCAACATCCCAACCAGTGAAACGTTTACACTCTGTGCCAAGAAACTGTTGGCTTTTGAAGGTACAGTGTTCAACATTTGCAGATTCAGGTCTCAAGAAGCAGAGATGTTTCATAAACAGCGTTTTCCTAGCAGCTTAGCATCTGTACACATCTGTCTTGGACATGAGTCCATTCACAGAGTACCATACTTTATCATCACGAGTGTCTGACCTGAACCAATGCCATTTTCTATTCCATATATATTGCTTTATGATTTTAAGTATTTGATGAAAGTGGTAATTTTTTCCTAACCAACTTAGTTAATTATTGCAAAAAGAACATTGAAAAGTAAGGTGACGGAAGGATTGTGATGACAATCTTTGCAGCAGCTATGTTTGGTTTAGTTGAAGTATCCCCGCTTATTCTTGTGGAATAGGTTTGGTCAGACAGCAATAACCAAATGACTTGCCAATATGACTGGTGCAACTGGTATTCTACAAATGCATACAGAACACAAAGACGACTTCCTTTTAGGATAAAATGATGCTGCTTCAACTGGCTTTTTTGGTAGCCATGGCTTCCAATAGCAACTGATTGACAGTTATAGAAATCTTGCAGGCTTATCCTTAGTTTGTGTCCATTAAGTACTACTTAATTCTTACATGGTAATGTTATTCTTATACGCTTCAGCGTTCATCTTCTATTTTGATTGAAAACAATTGATAGTTCTGTAAAAAAGTACAAGCCCTGAATTGTTCAGTGAACCAAAAGCACCAAATAATAGATAAAACTTTCTGGAACTAGAGTGTGGGAAAACTTCTTAACAGAACTAACAGTTAAAGGTAGTGAGAAATGTGTGGTATATGAATTCTTTAGTGGTAAGGGGAAATGTTGGCTAAATACCTTTCTTTCATGAAACTTTCATTCTATTTTATATTTCTGGTTTATTCTTGTGCCCATTTGAGAAAACAGATACACAATTTCTGAAAATTCAAAATGGCCATCAATGCTTTGGACTTTACATATGTTATGTATTAGAGAAGATGCAGGTGTACATTACTTAATATACGATGAACATAGCAGAGAGAAAAATAATAATGAAAAACATAAAAATAGCAGAGACACAACTTCTGGAGAAATCAGATAAATGGTGCTACAGAGGAACTTAGTTATTTCAGTTTAATTATTTGTAAAAAAAAATCAATAATCAGTGATTAGGTAAAGATACTGAAAGTCAAGAAAAATATCTTGACCTATTTATGTCTACTGTTCCATTAGTGGAACACTAGTCTTGTGGGAGTTATTTATATCCTGCTCAAGGTCATCACCAAGGTCTGATTACAAAAATTGAAGAAATTACCACCTCAGGCATAAATGGGTTAAGTCCAACAGATGGCACTGACCATAAATGGTGGATTGTATGTGAAAGGTTTGGACTTCAAGATATACCAACACCTAGAAAACTAAGGGGAAAGTGCAATTGATCCCCAATTACTATTTTAGTTTGAAGTATCAAGGGTATTTGTTAATCTTTCACATGTAGCTTCTAGAATTGTGCTGTCCAACATGTCCACTAGCCAGTGTGGCTTTTGAAATTAAAATTAAATTTAAAACATAATCCTTCAGTCACACCAGTCACATTTCAAGAGCTCAATAGCCACACCTGGATTGTGGCTAACATATTGAATAAGAAGAAACACTTACATGGTTGAAGAAAAATTTAATGAACAATTCTGGAGAGGTGTTACCTTCGAATTCCTTATCCTTGAAGAAAAGAGAAGAGGAGGAAAGAAAAAAGATTTGGCAGCTCTTGGGCATATCCAAGCATTTTTTGATCTTAGAGAGGCCCCATCGAGTAATGAAAAAACTATAGCTGACACAGCTTTGAGTCCCCACTGTGTTATCTTGGGAAAATCACTTCAACCTCCATGAGTCTCAATTTGCAATTCTGGAAAAGAAAAACATTTTTTTCCTGTCTTTCTTGCAAGATTATTATGCAACCTGATTAAATGTACAGAAGTACCAATTCTTAAAAACCTTATGTCAATGTAACCCACATAAAGTACATCTACTAGTCCAGTACCAGCACACATTTGCACTCAAAGGAAGAATAGTTCATCAGTCTAAAACGCATTCAAAGACAATCAGTCCATCACCTATCTTGAGAAAGTGCCAAAACAAAATGCATTCAAAACACAAAGCAAAATTGCTTCAGTTTCTTTTCTGCCCATCTGAATTCCTGCTCTAGTATTTGTCCCACATGACATCCATCCCATCTCTTTCTCCAGTCCTATGCCAGCATTGCCTGTGAATATCCTTCAACTGCCTCAGTTCTTTATTGCATAGACTCACTTAGCTTCTCTAGTTTCTTATGATTTCCCATTTTACACCTAACAGCAAAGGGAGGCTTCTATTTAGAAGGCAATGTCTCAAACATAAGTAATTTCATATTTATTTTATCACTATAACATTAATGTAAGAAGCTATGGCATTAAAATATAAAAATATTTGGAACAATGTAAACCTTTGCACATGCAGACTATATAAAAGGAATGAACTTATTTTAAATTATGCTAATATCCAGATACATATTCTAAGGTTAGTCTTATTTATCAGTTTTTGGCAGTAAATTCTGATGTTACATCTTCATGAATGAGTATAAATTTGATCATGTCCCTAGTGTCTGTTGCCCACTTGAGAAAAGGTTTTGCTAGAATCCACGGACTGGTTCAAGATGCTCTCATTCCATGATAGAAAATTAATATTTAAATAAGACTAATAGAAAACTATATTCTCTGGTCATAATTTCTTCCTCCTGTGAAATGTTCTTTTAGTTTGTATTTGTTTAGGTATTTTCCAGGTGTTTTTTTACAATGTGTTACACTAAATTCCATAGGGTTACTCCTGCTTTTACTTTACCACCTCCAACCCCACATTTGCCGTCAGCATCATATGCCATAATCACAGGAGATGCAGCCTAGACAACATAGTGAAATTCCATCTCTATTGAATATATACATTTATATATATATACACATTTATATATATATATAAATGTATCCCCTCTATCGAATATATATAAATGTATGTATATTCAATGGAGAAGATATGAATTATGTCATATATTTTATTATATATATATGTAAATTAGACAGGCATGGTTGCCCATGCCTGTAGTCCCAGCTACTCTGGAGGCTGAAGCAGAAGGATTGATTGAGCCCAGGAGTTAGAGGCTCTTGTAAATTACGATTGTGCCACTGCACTCCAGCCTGAGCAACAGAGCAAAACTCATCTCTAAATAAAAAAAGAATCGTGAGACATCATGTAATCAAACCTCTTAATGTTACAGATAAGTAAACTGAGGCCCAAAGAGGTACAGTAATAGTCTCAGTGTCAATAAACTGGGTCTTGAACTTAAATGTTTGTTTCAATTCTCATTGCCTACATCTCTTAAATGTCAGCACTTAAGGCCACCCAAGCAGCTTAGATAGCACAGTCCACTCAATGCTAACTGTATTTGGTTTATTGACTATCTGCTCTGTCCTGTAACAGAATATTAGCTCCATCTTTCTCTATCTTGTTGCTGACTTCAGAAGGCCACTATTGTTATAACATCGAGATTTCAAACCCTAGCCATTGTGGGGTCTCTGTTGGGATTTGAATTTCTCTTTTCTCCACCCCTGCCCCCATCTGTGGCTATCTAAGTTAACAATACAATTTATTTTGGCCATGTAAAATTTTTCTGCCTTTGTTTTATTTCTTCCCAAATGTATCTGAAAATGAATGATCTGTACAGCTGATTTTCTGACCAGATATATAAATGCAATTTTTATTTGCTCTTCAAACTATTACAACATGTTTGTCCTTAGAAGAGTTTTTGGGCAGGTAGTGCAAGGTCTGTGGTGTTAGCTTTTATATGCTCCTATTACCTTATGTTTGTGAAGCATGTTATATTTTACAGGGCACTTTGATTCATCTCCGTATTTCTTCATTTATTTAACTGCTCAATTCACTGAAATTTTGTTGAACACCTACTGGAACCATACAAGTAGTGAGAGTCCAGGCATGTAACTGATCATTATAATACATTAAAATCCTCAAACCATGCTTTGCAAGTAGGTAGGATCAATAATACTCTATCAATTTTCAACTCCAATTTTCTATTCTACTTAGAAAGGGAACTAGAAAGTGTTTGCCTGAAGAATGTGTCTGAAACCTAATACATCACTGCATGTCTGTGTTGTTTGTTCTGTTGGAAAGGATCTGTTAATTTTATTTATGAGAAGAAAAGTTACTCAGAATTCTCCCTGACCTAGGAAGGCTTTCTAGTTCACTGCAGTCTTACTGACCAGATGCAACAGTTGAAGTTTGATTTCTTGAACCAATATTTCTATGGGCTTTTGAATTATTAATATCACTGTTTTGAGGTATTCAGAAACACCAGTGTATCAAAAAGGCATTTGCACTTTATGTGTGTGTGGTGGTTATGTCCTTTATTAGACCATCCCAGATATAAGACAATCAGGGAAATCAGAAAACTCCAGCCTCAAATGTGTCTATAATTTCCTGTTCTACCACTGTCATATAATAACATGATATTACTTCCTAAGGTTTTGATTAAGTTGATCTTCTAGCCTCAACTTAAATTTTAATACATCTGCCTAATTATTGCCTGGAATAACTTTTCAGCCATCTAATGCCCATTGCTCTCACAATAATTATTATAGAGAAGTAAGATGGTAATTATTCAAGTAAAATCACATAATTTCTGGAATCAGTTTTTCATAACAAGTGTATAGAATACATCATTATTGGCTTCTCCATAATATGTTTATTATGAATGACCAAATTATACCTAGAGGAGCAAAATGCTCAAACTTGTTATTATAGGTTAATTTCCAGCTCACTGTTGACACTGAAAGATTCTGTGTTACTTTAAATCCAGGATAAAAGGCTGGAAAAAAATTAAATGCACGTCATAAACTGGTACTCATCTTTTTCTAGTTTCTAAGGCTTATTAACATTTGCAGATTAATAAATGTCTTTCATAATGGAATAACATAAAAATTTTTGACTTTGAAGATGATGATATTTTATTTATTTTCATTCTGTTTGAAAAACACTCAATGACTTCTCTTCATTCCACCAGAATTTTGACCTTTAACATCAGTCTCTCTTTTTCCCAACATTACAAATATATGTATATATATAAAATTCATGACCAAAGTATCGCTTACTGACCATGCAGCTGTAAACCTTCTGTGCCTATCGAACAAATACATAGCATGAAACTCATTTTAGAAGTTTCATGGGGGAATTTTAGGGGGAAGTATGAACCTAAGAGTGGGTGAATGGAGATGATTCATGGAAAAAAATAAAGATTGAAATGTGCTATTAAGTAAAGTTATTCTCAGCAATCTGCAAATAAATATTCATTGATAAGCAGCTCAAATTTTGGTCACTCAGACATGCAGACACTGGGGCACATATTCTGCAAGTGATGCTGAGACCCATGACATAGAGAAAGTGAAGATACGCCCAGCGAGTCTCAAGTGCAGCCATCACCCCTCCGTACCTCTGCTGTGGCATTCATCCAAACATCATGGAGGCCTTTGCCCTAAATAATTATGTGACTTGCCCTAGAGAATTAGTGAATGACCAAAAAGAGACTTTCCATTTATCTTCCTTCTACTTAAAAGGCATGAAAATGAGACAATAAATAAATAAATAAAATACTTTTCTGGAAGAAAGGATAAGAGATGGCCCTTTTCTTTCTGGGCCCAGAGCTGCATTTCTCTGAGGTTTGACCATCTCAGGGCTCAGACAGACTCAAGTGCTATTTTCTGGACATTTGTGGTGAAGCCTCAGCCACCATGTTCAAGGTCATTTGAATGAAAACATACTCAGATTGTCAGATTTATAGTAGGGAAATAACTCTAATTAAGCATCCTGCAGCTGGCTCCTATGAAAATAACATTAAGCAACAACATCAGAGCTTCACTGGCAAAGTAAGGTTAAAATCATTTTAGGGAAATCAGTGAAGTCTCTTTAGAAACAGACATCTTGTGTATGCTGTAGCCCGGTCTTGGGGCCCTCACAGAGAAGAGGGGGAGGTTTTTTCATTGGTTGGTGAAAACAAATCTCTCATTTGCCTGATTTGAGGCATTTGAACAGTGCCTGGAGAGTACATTATTTTCAGGGGAAAAAAGGAGAGAGCCTTTTTTACATGCCAGCTGGGATCATGGGAACTTCAAATGCCAGGAATTTACTACTGTTTCTGGTAATTCTGTTTGTCGCTATTTGAAATGTTGAAGTGTGAAAAGAGAAGAAGTTGGGCACTTTGAAGGGGCTTTCTATATTGTATGCCAGTTGCACCAGCATGCAGAATATTTGTAATGCATTCAGAGTGGATATAATTGCACCCTTTGTCAGAATCACAACAGTCTCTGAGGTGCTGCTACAAGAGAACACTGAGGAAAATCTGACCCTATGAACCCAGTCAACCCCAAACAAAAGGAATGACTGTGTGTGTGAGTGTAGCACATGGCCAGTTCATTTCTCACTGTTTTGGAAAGTTGTGTATGCCAAATCAAGGACGTGTCTTTCAGGTGAAGGTGAATTTTCCAAAGCTTATTAAAATAGAACTTGGAAAACCAAGCATTTTGAATTGATTCCAGTCCTCTGGGCATCATTCCTACTTCTTCTGCCATGTCAAGGAGAAATTCCAAGCCTGCATTCTGCCATGCTAAAATAGCAAGCCCGTACATCCCGATGACCTTCTGTTGAACATACCTGAGCCTGCAAATGTTAAAATGATTGTATCTAAATTTGCACTAATGGTGTCTGAGAGCAAAGAGAGTGTGACCTCTATTGGAAACCTTTGTTCAAATTCAATAATTCAGAGATGCTACATACTACTGCAAGCTTCCTGATTATGTTCACTGTAATATTAATGATCTAAGTTTGAATGTGTTTTATAGTTCATTAATTTGACATCCATCTTTTACCTGGGGATTATTACGATTGCAATAATTCATTCATGTTTTCTTCACACAGCTTCTTAAACCAAGTTTTTCTGCAAGTCTTTCAGTTCTGCTTACAGTGTGTGGGAAATCTGATTTTTTCCCTCTAGTAATAATTTGATAAGAAATCCAGTGTATTGACTGCCTCAGTGACACAATTCATCTTTAAAGGTGTGGAAGCTGGTAGGGACCAAATGTTACTTGTGTTTTCGCTGTTGACTGCTATTTTCAGAAGTAAACCATGTTTTTCACTTACAATAGGAGTCAACAAATTTGGGGTTTTAGAAGTGGGAGAAGGGAGCTATTTGTGTAATACTGCTGTCATATTTGACTACATATTAAAAACAATAAATGAGCATTTTGTTTTAATTTCTTAAATACCTTGTCTTTCAACATATTTTTTTTGTTTCCTTTCTTCCATTAGCGTTCAAAATGTTTTACCTATTGTGGAAGAAATTCTGTGTGCAGAATTCAGAGGCACAAGGCTGATGGCATAATAGAAAATTCTTTTGCTTTATACCCACCCCAGTGTGGGAACTGATACTAGGTAGAGTGAGCTGTAGAAAACAAAGATTTCAGGATGCCATAGCATGTGGGCATGGGGTGGAGACTTCTTCCCCCACCCCAACCGCCGTGCCAAACTATTCCAGTCTCCTGGATCAGACAGATGGGATTTTAGCTGCTGCTTTAAATCCTAGTGCTGAAATGAGTCAAGGTGCTTCAGCTCAGCTCTTGCCTCTGTCACTAATCTTGCTTTATGAACTCCTTTGATTATCAAAATATGTTCCAGAAGGTCCTCTATTATTCCATCCTTCTTCCAAACTAGAAATGATTGTATCTGATTCTCAGGATATTTTGGATGTGTGCCTCAGGTAATTGATGTGGAATGTGTAAAGTGAGATGTCTCCAATTCTGAATATTCCCTCCCTGTTTCCTAATCCTCCACTCTTGACTACCTTTGTAACAGCACCAGGTAACACACAGACCTGAACCCACACCCAAGAAGCACACACACAATGACTGGAGCTGTGGGGAATTCCAGTCAGTGGCATTCCCTGAGCAATGGCTCTGTACAATTCAATTATAATTTTTTAAAAATCTTACCTCTGTATAGATCTTTTGGACTGTATTGATTAAACTTTGATATTGTGTAGTAAATTCAGAAGTGCAATTTTAAATGGTGTGAATTGTCTTTATGATGCCAAAAATATATATATTAATGTGAATCATGCAATCTTCCCTAACAATAGGAAAACATGAGGCCAATGCTTTCAAAATTGAATTAGTGTATACAATTTCTTTAAATAATTCAGTAGAAATTTATTCAGATGTATGTTAAAGAAAAATGTGCTCATCGCAATCACACAACTTTTAAATCAATCTCATAAATAAAGAGAGCAGATCTTCTAACAAGTTCTCTCTTCCAAAGCACTATTTTTAGAATCAGTCTTTTGATATGCAGTTTGAAAGTTTTTCCCTATAGTTTATTTTTATTAAACATTTATTAAGTAACTACTCTGTGCTGAATCTGGCTCTCTTGCCCAGGCTGGGTTACAGTGGTGTGATTCTGGCTCACTGCAGCCGCGATTTCCCAAGCTCAGGTGTTCCTTCCACCTCAGTCTCTCAAGTAGTTGAAATTACAGGCCTGCACCTGGTTAGCTAAAAGAAATATATATATATTTTTGTTTTGTTTTGTTTTGGACAGTGTTCCACCATGTTGCTCAGGCTGATAGCAGACTCCTGAGCTCAAGCGATCCTCCCGTCCCAGCTTCCCAAAGTGCTGGGATTACAGGTGTGAGCCACTGTGCCCAGCCAGAGTATTTGCTTTTGATTAGCTTTCAGTGCACTCAGGGGGACAAACATGTAACTAAATATGACAAACCAAGGATTGTAGGTCCCAGGATAGAAATTTTACATAATGCAATGAAATGGCAGGGGAGGGAAGAATTAATTCTGTGTGGAAAAGGACAGGAGCTTTCATGAAGCAAGTGGTATTTGAACTTGGTCTTGAAGGATGAGTAGGCTTTCCCCAGGCAACAGCCCATGCTTACCAGAGAGTAAGTGAAGTAGGAGCTAATGGACCGGCTGCGTCAGAGGGAATCGAAAGACAGGTAAGAAAAGGCAGGTTGGAAAATCACCAAGGCCAGAGAGTTAGACCCTAGTTGACCTCATGACTTTAGAGTTTACCTTCTAAGCACAGATGCACTTGAAAGCTTTGAAGCACCCCAACTATTTCAGAAAGATCACCCCATTGGCACAGTAATAGATGAATTGCACAGGAGAAAGCTAGGAGGCTGTTCTGGACACAGCTGCTCAAATCTGGCTACTGCTTCCTGAGGACTAGCCCTTCCTAGTTTTCTGATCTTCCTCTTCCTGTATTCTGTCCTCTGTTAATAAAAACCCAGTGCCATCAGCACATGTAAACTTCATTTCTTCCCTTGCAGTCACCCCTTCCAGCAAAATACATATTCCCTTTCCCCAAAATCATGACACAACACAATTGGACAGATTTTCATGTGAAACCAGCCAGATCTGCCCAGATTTACTTATCTCTTTAGGCGAGAACTCCCTTTTTCATTTGTAAACACGCAAGGCAACCCAGACAACCAAAACACCCTGAGGTGGAGATCTACTTTCCTCCAAATGATGATAAACAGGAAAATGATGCAGCTGGTCAATTTTCCTTCTGGTCATTCTAGACCATTCTAGACATCTTATTGATTAAATTACTTGTGATTTGGGTGGAGAAGTTTGAATTTAAGGTGTGGTTCCTGAAATAACCTAAAACTTTATTTCTTTTCTTTTAATGTTAGCACTTAACCGATTAATTTGTCCTCACAATTAATGACTTAGAAATTACTCATTCAGGAGTGTCTAGGGTTATTGCAAGGCTCAGAAAACCTGGAAAGATCAAATAGCTTCCTATTGAGTTGAGAACCTGAGGCATGGTGAAGCCTCCACTGTGGAGACGCTCAAATGTCTGTTAAGGGGAGAACTAGACTTTAGAGGGCTTCTGAATGTCAAGATTGACAGGAATGAAAAACAAAGCCTCCACGATTTTAGGCAGTCCACAGTTGGCAGGAAGAGGATTTCAAAGGGTGAATGCCAACTGCCTTTGGATAACTTGAGAGTGTATCGAAGTGTTTCAGAGTTCTCGGAGGAAGCAGATAAACACCTGATTTAGTCATCAGGGAAACTACGAAGATGTCAATCATAAAGGAGACTGATTGGCTTTCATGACCCTGGCTCTGTGTTTAAAGATCACAGCCTTGTAGGGTGCAAGTGCACTCATGCTGCGAGGTGCTTGGTTTGTGCCTTGGAGATGTAAGGAGCTAGTGGAAGAACAGAAACCAACCAGTTCATTATATGTGAACCCATCCATTTAAGGGGAACCAGATTTCATATGTGCACTCCACTGCCATGGAATGAATAGAGGAAGGAGGAGGAGATGCAGAAACTGAGAAAAGCTAGAGTTGAGAACATAAAGCTACTGCTTAGGCTGGTGCCTATTTTCCTGCTGCAGGCAGTGGGTATGTTAATAACTATCATCTACACATCTGCTTCTCCACATCTAAAGGCAGGGCAATCATAGATTTTGGAAATTGTTAAAATGTATTAAAGAAAGAAAACCCAATGAGAATCCCATAAGAGTTTGCAACTTCACGAAAGAGAGAGACCCCCGCGTCTACCCGGTGATGCACCTACTATTTTCTGTGAATTGCTATCGCTTTCTAGACACACAGATGTATTTGGCCTCCCAAAGTAAATACACTTTAGAAATGACAACATGTTTTGATAAATGTTAATTTATCAAATGTTAATTTTTAATGTGTATTATTCTAATGGCTGTAGCAAACTTTACTTAAAGCCTTTGATCGTCTACCGAATATTCCCCTGACATATTTTTATGGTAAACTTTACAAACATTTGGGGGTTGCAGAATTGTTGAGCTATTTTTCTCCCCAGAATTTCTTTGTACACTTGTAATTTAGCTTTCTTTCCAAAACGATTCACTGTGGTGTGAGACTTGATAGAATGTGAAGCAAATTTTTCTTGCTGGAGTTTGGCTGTAAGCCTAGAGGATGGGCTGCATAAATTATTCTAATGCCATAAAATCTTGCATCTTATTTCTTCCTAGAATGTTTTAGATCTGCGTCAGGATGCCTGGAAGTGAGATACTAAACAAGCAAGAGCTCATTGCACAAAAGAGAAAGAATGACTGGCAAAAAAAAATGAAATGAAACATCGGCTTTGTAAAATGGTGTCACTTGGAATTTAATTAGATATCATCTTCTTGAGGAAATGCATATTATATTTGAACTAGACAAGATCCCAGCAGGTTAAACAGCAATAGGGTAAATAAGAAAGGAACACCCCTGTTAGAGAGAAAAGTTAAAATGAGGTTGTTGATATCACAGCAGACTCCCAGTCACATATGAGGCAATAAACTCTAGCAGAAGGGGTGAGTTCCTGGAAGAGGGAAGCATCCATGTGGATTTTCTTTTTAATTGAATTTAAATTCCAGGGTACATATGCAGGATGCGCAGGTTTGTTACATAGGTAAATGTGTGCCGCAGTGGTTTGCTGCACCCACCACCTTGGCATTAAGCCAAGTATGCATCAGCTATTTTTCCTGATGTTCTCCCTCCCCTATCCTCCTTCAATAGGCCCCAGTGTGTGCTGTTCACCTCTCTGTGTCTATGTGTTCTCATTGCTCATCTCCCACTTATAAGGGAGAACATGCGGTGTTTGGTTTTTGTTCCTATGTTAGTTTACTAAGGATAACACCTTCTAGCTCCATCCATGTCCCTGCAAAGGACATGATTTCATTCCTTTTTATGGCTGCATAGTATTCCATGGTGTATATGTACCAGGTGGATTTTCTATTGTTTTACTTTATGGCCTCATGTGAAGCTTTATTAAGGCACTGGGATGAGAGTTCACTTACTTCAGACAGATTGCTGTAGTCAGATTGATATCCTTGTCATAAAATCACAACAAATACCTAACCTGGCAGTTGCCACCCAGAGACAAGAAAACACTCAGCTCTCCCTAAAACTGCAAGAAAGATCCACTGCAGACTTCTCTCTGCCTCTCTCATAAGGATCAAACCAAGTCCCCTTGATTATAAGAAGTCAGCCGAAGTGTATCTGCACTCATGGTTACACATATAAGTTTCCTGAGAAAAATTCTCTTTCTGCCAATAATACATCAGACCATATAACAATTATGGGAACAAGGCCAGGCATAGTGGGTCACATGTGTAGTCCCAGTACTTTGGCAGGCCAAGGCAGGCAGATCACTTGAGGTCAAGAGTTTGAGACCAGCCTAGTCAATGTGGTGAAACCCCATCTCTACTAAAAATACAAGAATTAGCCAGGCTTGGTGGCACGTGCATGTAATCCCAGCTACTTAGGAGGCTGAGGTAGGAGAATTGCTTGAACGTGGGAAGTGGAAGATGCAGCCAGCCAAGATTATACGGCTACACTCCAGCCTGGGTGGCAGGCAGGACAAGACCTCATAAAAACAACAACGAAATTACAGAAACAAGCTCTGTGACAACATGCATGTGACTTCCCAAAGCCCAGACTACTTCATCTATAAACTAAGGACAAAAAGAGCACCTGCTTCCTAGAATTATTATGACAAGTAAATGTTCCAAAATATTTAGCTTAGTGTTTTGCCATTAAACTCAGTAACAGTTAGCTTCGCAACGATTATTGTTGCCAATGAAAGATGCATTGATTTTGGTAGGAAAAATGCTGTCTTAGTCCTTGAAAAGATAAACTGAAGGCAAAAAAGCTAAGAGGAACCATTAACTGGATGAACAGATTGCAAAATAAGTAATTCAAACCAGAAACTGCATGAGAAGAGGACCATTTCGCTACAGTCTTGTTACCCATACTCCCTCAAGTCTCATTTCTTTCTACCATTTATGTCAGTATTTTCCATTCCTAATTCTAAAATATAAAAAAGCAAAAAGAAGGGAACTTCAAACATCAAGTGAGTTAGAAAAATTAAAAATTAAATACCAAAACTCAAGTCTATATTAAGAACAGACAGTGGGTTATAGAATTTAAGGAGGTACCTGCCTTGTGTGCTCTTTATTCATTTGTTAATTTATGTGTGGAGTTTACAGAAAAATCAAATAAGGCTGCTAAGTGTTATTTTTAAAACTATTTTTATGTTCCCATATCTAATTTCTCTGTTAGAAAAATGAGGAAAATCTTTCCTACATCTCAAAGTAGTTTAAAAGAAAATTCATAAGTATAAAGTGTTTCAAGCGTATGCAAACAAACTTTATATGGATTGCCTAAGTCACGGATTCTAGCCACTGAACTTGTTTGCCCACAGACTATTTCTGACACAAAATGTGTGGTAAGTTTTTCCCACACCAGCCGCTTCTCCAATTTTTCAAACAACTGGGTTTCCTACCATTTACTCAACTCCACTAACTACCCAGGTCTAGCCAGACCTCAGGGGTTAAGAACTCAGTTTCACGGAACCACCCCGCCCCTCCCCATTCCAGACACCAAAAGCTTCCATGTCCTCTCTGGTGCTCCTCCCTCCCAGCACCTCCACATGTTCACCCACCTGGAAGCCGGGGTTTTTATGGAGGTCTCATTACAGAGGTGTGATTGATTTATCATTGACCACTCGTGATTGACTCAATGTCTAGCTCTTCTCCCAGCCTGGAGGTTGTGAGGTAGAGCTCAAAGTGCCACCCTCTAATCAGACCCCATTCTGAAGCTACGTAGGGGACCAATAAGAGTCACTTCTTTATGACAAAAGATGCTGCTATCACTTGGGAAACTCCAAGGGATTTAGGAGTTCTGTGACAGGAACTGGGATAAAGACCAAATATTTATTATTTATTGTGTCAAAGAGCCCTTGTGAGTCAGGGATATTTACCATCCCCCTCTTCTGTGACATGTGCTCTTGCTTACAACAATAGAAATGCACCTGGACCAGGTGTGATAGCTCATACCTGCAACTTCAGCACTTTGTGATACTGAGGTGGAAGGATTATTTGAGGCCAGGAGTTTGAAGCCAGCCTGTGCAACACAGTGAGGCCTTATTTCTACAAAAAATTAGGAAATTAGCTAAGTGTGGTGGTGCTCACCTATAGTCCCAGCTACTCAGGAGGCTGATGCAGAATTGCTTGAGCCCAAAAATATCAGACTAAAGTGAACCATTATCACACCAGTGCACTATAGCCTGGGTGACAAAGAAAGCAAGACACTGTCTCCAAAAAAAAAAAAAAAAGTATTTGCCCAGATACTTCCACCATTCCTGAAGCAACTCCAAGCAGATGTCGCTTTGTAATGTGATAGTAAGCTCACCTGGGTATAGCAAAGAAAACAAATTCATTTATTCAATGCATGTGTGTTGATCACTTTCCAAGATCCGAGTACCATTTTACATTCTGGAAATAGAGTGATATATTTATTTCACAAATAGTGTTGTTTTGCGCCAGGCACTGGTCTAAGCACTTTACAGATATTAGTTATTGAATCCTCTTACTATCCTTGTGAAGCAGATGCTCTTACTATCTCCATGTGACAGAAGAGAAAAGCAGTAACTTAGTGGTTGAGCTACTGACCCATGGCCATATAGCAAGGAAGAAGCAGAGACCAAATACAAACCTGGAGTCTTTGCTCTTGGTCACTACTCTGGGCTGTCTTTGGAACAAAACAGTTTTTTTTAAAAAAGCATAAATGTTTGCCCTCATAAGTTTATATTCTAGTGAGGCACTACAGACAATCAGTTATCTAAGTTATATCTATCTATCTATATATAGTAAGTTAGAAAATAAATGCTATGTAGAAAAATAAGAGAGGAAAGATCAGAAATGAGAAGTGGATTTCTCATTTACGTGAGTAAGCCGGAAAGGGAACATTTGAGCACTGACCTAAGAGTATTTCAGACAAAGCGGTAGCAGCAAGTAGAAAGGCCATGCACAGGGAACCTTACCACATGTTCAGGAAGCAGCTAGGATGTCAGCTTTGTGGCCGGCAAGGAGTGAGTTAAAGAGGAGTCCTATAGAGGTCAGAGAGCAAACGCGCGATCACGTGATCCCAAGGAAGCTAGAAAACCAGTGAGGAATTCAGAGTAGCCCAGGGAGAAGCTCTGATTTCCTGCTGAAAAGGGTTACTCTGGCATCTGGGCGGAAAAAAGGAAGAAAGAGGAGACCAAGCAGGAGGAGGCTGCTATCATCCGATGTGCTGTAATAGGGATCTACTGCACCAGTCCGTGGCTTAGGAACTGGGCCACACAGCAGGAGGTGAGTGGCAGATGAGCGAACAAAGCTTTATCGGTGTTTACAGACACTCCCCATCACTCACATTACCGTCTGAGCTCTACCTCCTGTCAGATCTGCAGTGGAATTACATTCTTACAGGAGTGCAAACCGTATTGTGGGCTCTGCATGCCAGGTATCTAGGTCACATGCTCTTTACGAGAATCTACTGCCTGATGATCTGTCACTGTCTCCCATCACCCCCCTAGTTGCAAGACTCTCCACAGCTTAACTAAATCTAAACATTTTCTAGCCATAATCTCACAGTGCCAATTCACTTCCCCTGAAAACACTATTGCTAATTTCTTGATAGTTCTGCCTGATAAAATGTCAGCAATCTTAATGAGATAGAGGTAGACTCCCCATTAGTCCCCATGATCTGCCTTATAACCAATATCAGAAGTGCTGAAGAAGGGTCTCCTGTGTGAACAGTAGCATTAATATACACACAAGGGTAATGTGGGATTCCTTGCTGGCCCTTTCCCTTTACTTTTAAATGCAGGTTACCTCCCCAACACAGGTGTATATCCAATCAGTAAACACTGAATCCCATCACTTTCCTGCATGTATATGATGTGCTTATTACTAAACTATGTGTTGGGGATAAAGTGACAACCAAAACTGAACCAGCCCCTGTCCCAGTGGAGTCTACAGTCTGCTGTAAGGAGCAGCTTTTAACAGATGATTAAACAAATCACCCTATGCATAAAATATGAACAAAACTATGATAAGAGCTATGGAGGAAAAGTACATGTTTCTAAGGCAGCACTTAACAGAAGACTCCATCTTAGTCTGGAAGTCCGAAACGTTTCAACAACCAAATGACATTTGAGGTAAGATTCAAAAGATGAGTGTGGGGAAGAACTTTCCAGAGAGCAAACCCAAATGTGGGAAAACACTGAGGCAGGTTGAAAAATTGCATATCCCAGAATCAAGAATAAGGTCATCCTTGCTGAAGTTCAGAAAGAAACAAGGGTAGAGGCAGAGAATGTGGATGGATTAATGATAGATTCCAGGCTGTGTGGAGCCTTCCAATCCTAAAATCTTTTACATCTGCTATTCACACCCACCCCCAGCTTTAACTTCCTGTTTGGAATGGATAAATCCTAGTCGCCTTCAGATCTCAACTTCAGCTGGGAAGACTTCCCTGATGCACACATTAAACACACTCCTTCAGCTGTTCCTACTGTTTTTATTTCCTCCCTCAAAACAATCACCGCATGTAATTTCAATTATTCATTCACATCTGCCTTCCACCAGATTCTGAGCTCCATCAGGGCTGGGTGTGAATCTATCTTGTTCACTGCTTTCTGCAGAACTTAGCACAGTGCCAGGAACAAAAATGAAAATGTTGAAAGAGTAAGTGCCTTGCCGCGTGCAAACTGTCCCTAATATTGCTTTTCTTGTTTCAAGCTAAACTGAAAGAACAGTCAAAGTGGGATGTCTGTTAAAAGAAATACATTGACAACTCTGTAAGAAAAACAAAAAAAAGGAAAGGTGTTTCTGCCTTAATACCATGCTATCAAACTAGGTATCATGTTATTTATTCAAATAACAGCTCTGAATAAAAGTTTGAAGCCTGTGTCAAAACAGAAGCAACTGAGCCAAACAACTCTCTCATCTGGCTCAGCAGCTTCGTTGCCCACGGAGGGCTGACCTCCTCCATCAACACCTCAGGTCTTATGGTTAAAAAGCTCTGGAAAGTTTTTGACCCTGTTGCCTATTAAGAGGTATCTCTGGCTGTGACACGGGATATACCATGGTCCGTGTTCGGGTTCCCTGAAAGACAAATTTGACATGGGTTTAAGAGCAAGAAGTTTATTTGGGAGATAATCCTAGGAAACACCATGAGAAAGTAGGGAAATAAGGCAGGGAAAGCAAGCAAGCCAAGAAAATAGGTGATAAGGAGCAGTTACTTCCCTGAGCTGAACCCCACTGAGGATTCCCGGAGAAACCATGTGGGGTTTGTCTTGGAATTGCCCCAGTGTTCGCCAAAGAAGCCAACCACCCACAAATGAGGCTGGTGTTACCACCAACTCCCAGACCTCATTTGTAGGTGGTCATTCCTTTGCATTTCCACCCTGCCTCTGTGATGAAAAAAACAAATTGTTTTTCCTCTGCTCTTTAACCACAACAATCAACACAGAAGACTGTTGTGATCCAATGTGTGGGGATTTCTCTCTACCAACAGCAAGCAATCAGTTTTGCAACAGGCACCAGCTGGGCATCCTACAGTTGAGTTCTGACTCTACCTACCTGGAGATGGTAGTGGATCCCATAGGTTGAGGGCTGAATCCCACAAGAGTGCCCATACCTATACACACAAGCTCCAGGTTGTTTTACCTGTGCTTCTGACCAACCCAATATAAATCAGAGACCCCATGACCCACTCCTGAGGTTCGATTAATTTACTAGAGCAACTAACAGCAGTCAGGGAAACACACATATGCATTCAGTTTATTAAAGAATATTAAAAGGGTACATGTGAAGGGTGCATAGGATGAGGTATGGGAGAAGGAAGGAGTGCAAGGCTTCCATGCCCGCCCATGATGGACCACCCTTTGGGATCCTCTATGTGTTCAGCTCTCTGGAAACTCCCTGAAACCAGTCCTTTAAGGGTTTTATGGGGGCTTCAATGCATAGGCATGACTGATCAAATCACTGGCCATCAACAATCAACTTGATCTTCAGCTCCTCTCTCCTCCCTGCAAGTTGCTGGGGAGGCTGAAAATCTCAATCCTCTAATCCTACCTTGGTCTTTCCCGTGACCAGCCCCATATTGAAGCCACCTAATGGGCTGTTAGCCACCAATCAACTCATCGGCATACTAAAAGACACTTATCACTTCTGAGAGTCCAAGTATTTTAGAATATGTATAGCAAGTGACTGGGATGAAGACCAAATATACATTTCACAACATCACACTTTCCTTCTACACTCCAGGTACCTCCAGGTGCTAAAAGTGCCCTCAGCCAACAAGCCTTGAGATGAGGCACCAAGACAGTGATGCCTATAAAATACATTAAAATTCTCCCTTTCAAAATAGATTTCTAAAACTCACTTGGTATGTTCTCTTCAAAGTGATTTTCCCAGTACTCTGGTTATAATTACTTAGTGTCTATGTTTATATTTCTCACAAATGGATGACAGTGGGGATGAAAATGAGTTCACTGTATACAGATCACCAGCTTGCCTGAGTCCAGTGAGATAGAACACCCATACTAACTTACATGAAGCTGACTTACTACTTACAGATAGGCAGCAAGGGGCAACATAAGCCGACGATTCATAAGAAGCTCGTCCACAAGGCTCAGGAAAGCGCCTGCGGTGGATGGCATCTCATGTGTGTCGTACTTGCACAGCAGTAGAGGGACTCCAGAAATCAGCATGCCCTGGGTTTTATGCTTCAGGAGTTACATGATATGCTAGGCTAAGACATTGAAGGACTTCCTGTTTCTAGAAAACTAGATGAGAGCCTGGGCTTTTCTAGCCAGCTCCTCCCTATCTCAGGTTATTGCATTCCCAGCAGTTGTGTAGTTATTTTTGAGAACTACAAGTAAGAAAGAGGGGAGATAATTGGCTGATCCAAAAAAAAAAAAAGCTATTCAAAAAACTGTCCTGCAGGAGATCATGAGGATTTTTCTTTTTTCTTTTCTGTTTTGTTTTGAGACAGGGTCTCAAGCTGTCACCCAAGCTGGAGTGCAGTGGCACCATCGAGGCTCACTGCTACCTCCACCTCCCAGCTTCAAGCAATCCTCCCACTGCAGCCTCCCGAGTAGCTGGGACTACAGGAACACGCCACCACACCTGGTTAATTTTTGTATTTTTGGTAGAGATGGGATTTTGCCAGGTTGTCCAGGCTGGTCTCAAACACCTTGACTTAAGCTATCCACCAGCTGTGGCCTCCCAAAATACTGGGATTGCAGGCTTGAGCCACCATGCTCAGCAGGGATTTTCTGGGATTCTGTCAATGAAGTCGTTCCAATCTCTACCAAACCCCCAAAATATGTTTTAGTAACTTTCCTATTTTTATACATTGGCCTCATTCAGTTATAGCTTCACTTCCACTTATAACACCTTGAGATATTATGTATCATAATTCTTAAATAATCAAAATGTTTTTAGTCCTTTGGGATTACAAACTAGATCTGAAGAAAATTTCTAGTAATGAATGTTATACTCTCCATTATTCTTGTTATAGACTCTTCTGTCCATTTTCACACAGAGAGACTTCTATACTGTGGGTTAAGGAAGGAAACCAGGCCCTGAGCTTCAGTAGTTCTACCAGTGCTTCTCAAGTGTCAGGTAAGTCACATTGCTACCACACTTTCTGTGTCAGAAGTTAACCAATGTTTAATGACCTTGAAAAGGAATGAGATTATTGATTTTGCCATTGATTTAAGCAACAGGAGAAATAAATGAAGAATGAGGTAATTATGTCTTTAATCTCTCCCATAAGCCTGGAAGACAGTCCAGGGTGAAAACTCAAGACTGTAAGTGCTTATTCTAAATTTTGAGATTTCCCAATCTAGAAACTTTAAAAATATAAGTAATAATTTTTTAAAACACTGCCTCATAGTCTTCCCATAATTTGTAACATATAGTTGAAAACATCTCACTTTGTAAAAAGCAGGTACAGAGGAAGCACCAAGGTGCTTTCAAGAAGCATGCCCAGGCTGGGCGTGGGGCTCATGCCTGTAATCCCAACACTTTGAGAGGCTGAGCTGGGCAGAACACTTGAGCTCAGGAGTTTGAGACCTGCCTAGCCAACATGGCAAAACCCCGTCTCTACAAAAATTAGAAAAGCTTGGTAGTTGCATGCCTGTAATCCCTGCTACTCAGGAAGCTGAGGCAGGAGAATCACTTGAACCTGGGAGGCAGAGGCTGCAGTGAACCAAGATCATGCCACTGCCCTCTGGCCTGGGCAACAGAGCAAAATCCTGTCTCAAAACAAAACACAAAACAACAACAACAAAAAGAAGCACACCCAGCTCAGCATTCCTTAATCTGAGCACTGTGGGACCCAAGACGTCCTTCCACCTCTTCCCTGGTCGCTTAAGTAGATGGAAAACACTGCCTACAGCATTGTCAACCTGGAGACTCATGGTCCACAGCAATCTGTTAAATGTCATCTTTTTCCTCTCCACTCTCCAATGGCTTCCTAAAGCACCTCGAATGAATTACAAAACACTTACTGTAACCCTCATGCATGGACTTCTCTCTGGGCCCACAGACCTCCCTGCTGTTCCTCCTACAGACCCACCCACACTCAGGCCCCAGGTCTTTACCCAGCACTTGCTGCCCCTCTGCCAGGACCATTCTTTCTCTTCCTCCAGGCTCCTCTCCTCTACCAATCCCTCCCTGCAATTAGATTGCAAGTCATTTCCTAACAGCCGCCTTCCCTGACCAGCCTGTATTTAGAAGCATCTCCCTTTCCTTTCCAATCTCCAATCCTTTTCTTTATTGCACTTATGGCTTTCTGGCATGCTCTAGATTATTTGTGTTTACTGGTGGTTTCCCCAAAAGAGTGGAAGAGCCATAAGGACAGATTCTCTGCCCAGTGCCTACAAAAGTGCCCAATAGTAGTAGGGATTTAGTAAATATCTGTTGAATTAATTAAAGTGAGTCAATGAATCAATGAGTGAAGAAACTGCTTAGCTTTCATTGGGCAAGGTGCTGTCCATTGTTAATAAAATAGGAGTTAAAAAGAAATTATTCAGGCAGATAGTGAGGGTAAGAAAGTCCTCGGTAAGGTTTCCTTTTAATAAGAAGCAGCCCTAAAATCATTTATTTTCTAACAAAGAGCAGCCTGAAAAATCAAGCTGCAAACATAGATAAGCAAACTAAAAGCTTGCATAGTGAATGCTGGCAGCCGTGACAATAGGAAAGGTGACCTGGAGGCCAGGCATGTTCAACATGGTGGCTCCATCTTCCCTTTTCTTTGTCAACCGTGTGTACAGGGACAAACAGACAACACAGCACTGGCCAGGTAGGGAACCCATCTGCATAATAAAAGATCAGAGTGGGATGACCAGCTTCTACTGGTGCTATGCAAACATCATACCTGGTCCAGCCAATCTCTCAGGCTCTATATAAATGGGACACCGCCCCCTCAAGCTCCTCTATAAAACCTCATGCATTTCACCCCGAAACCAGAAGTCTTACTTGGGAGCCCCTCTTTCTCTTCAAGAGAGAACTATTCACGTTTTTCTTTCTTTTGCCTATTAAACCTCCTCTCTCTTATTTTTATTTTATTTTATTATTTTTTTTTTTTTGAGTCGGAGTTTTGCTCTTGTCACCCAGGCTGGAGTGCAATGGCGTGATCTCAGCTCACTGCAACCTCCGCCTCCTGGGTTCAGGCAATTCTCCTGCCTCAGCCTCCTGAGTAGCTGGGATTACAGGCACGCACAACCATGCCCAGCTAATCTTTTGTATTTTTAGTAGAGACGGGGTTTTACCATGTTGACCAGGATGGTCTCGATCTCTTGACCTCATGATCCACCTGCCTCGGCCTCCCAAAGTGCTGGGATTACAGGCTTGAGCCACCGCGCCCGGCCTAAACCTCCTCTCTTAACCTCATTTCTTGTGTGTCCACATCCTTCATTTCCCTGGCTTGAGATGACAAACCTCAGGTATTTACCCCAGACAACAACACTGCTTCATTTAAATATTTTCATTAGCTTTGGAAGAAAGGATATTTGGTGTGTCCTCTGGCGGAGGTCATAGTCAAGGCTGCTTATATGATGGCTAACAGCAGAGGAATGAAGCATAGTTCTGTAAACTATGTCTCAGCTAACTCACAGCCCTGGGTACCCAATGATGTTCCTCCCAGTGGTCTTTTCCCTTAACATACTTGGGTCTAGTTAGGTATTGTCAGGCGGTCTGTGGGCCCCAGGCTGGCATGCTTGGGGATGGCCAGTTTTTCCTGGATGTAGCATGTATGTGGTCATTGATTCTGGCAAGCTCTGAATCTCCCATTCTCTCACCCACTGCCCAGCCAAGGGAATCTCTTTATAGATTGGGAAACAGTTCTCCTAGTGTTTCTGGCCATGATTATTTGGCTATATACAAGCAGGAATTCTTTTTATCTCACTTTGAAAATCATCTAAATGCCCCAAGTGCTTAGGCTTCTGGAAGATAAAAGTTGGAAAGGGAAATATTTTACTTCCAAACTTTAGTTTTCTTCTCGTCATATGCATGAAATGAGCGAATGAGCATAGAACAAACCCTTTGATGAACTGGGGGGAAGGAAAGGAGGGAAACAAAAAGGCAGTGCAATGAGAAGAAAAGAAAGAAAGATTCTTACTTGGTGAAATGTTCATCCATCTCCCAATAAGCTATAGCCAGAAAAATATTACTTCATATGTGGCTCTGAGTTTCCAAAGAAAAGGATCAATGAACTCAGTTTTCACTAAGTGTTTGAACACCACGCTTAGTGTCAAATGTGGAAGCCTTGTACTTCTGTATAACCGTTTTCTTATTTAAAAACTTCCTGTCATTATATACCTTTCTAGAAAATTGCCTCTTGTTTTTGACATATTAGCTTTGTAAAGTATTACTTTAAAAAAAGAAAAAATTTGAAGAAAGTAAACACTCTAGAATACTAACTCTTTTAGTTTCGGTTTATTGTTTTAAATCTTTCGGGTCTTGCTGTTGCTGTTGTTGGTTTGTTCATTCATTTCTTACTATTCTCTTAGGAATAGCTTAAGAGCTGGTATGGTAGCATCAGCTGTTGTTGATAAAAAGTTTACTTTAATCCAACCACACTTAAAATATACCTAACTTAAAAAAATAAACACAGAGCAAAAATCTCTCTGAATTTTTAGTTTTAAAGAGAGAAACAAAGGATACATAGAAAAGTATATGCAGTATTTGCCCTATGGCTTTGTGAGTGTTTAGGAGATTTATTTGCTCATTATCATTGGTAACCATCTTTAAATGAAGAATAAGACTCAAAACACAAATTAGTTAAAAAAGTAATGTATTTGCTTCAAGAAGGATGATGGCTTTGTAGCCGCTTAGGCTTGGGGATTAACTAAGACAAGAAGTACTGATCATTTTCCCCTTTCTCTGCCTCTATGTTCAATCTAGGTTATCTTAAATCGACCAAACACCGTACTTCCGATACCTTTGTATTTTATAGCTGTCGAGACAGCTATAAAAGAACATTTTGTTAAATTTAAACGTTAGTTGCCTTTTCCCTTACTTTTCTGAAGAATGTGGTGACTATAACGTGCTTATTTCTGTGTTTTGATTTTATTCTGTCATGCTTTGGATTAAAATTTCCAAGTAACAGATACAAAGATCTCTTCAAAATGATAAAGGTGGCTTCTAGAACACTATGCCTTGCTTTGTCAAGTAGTGGGAGGGCTGAGTAGGAAGGAGACCTGTGGTGATTTGTTGAGGTATGAGCTGGTGAGATGGATTCCATAGAAAGAATCTGTAGAACTGTATATCAGTACAAAAACCTTCAGCTCAAGGGTTGGCTTGGCTCTTTCAGAAATGATTTGTGATCTCACTTGCAATCATTTATGATCCCAACACCTAGTCCAATTCATTCTGGCTGATAACATAAACGATTGTGTCCTGTCGGTAGGAAAATCCAGCAGTTGGAATTAGCTGCATAGCTATAACATATCATTGCCTTTATAAATCAAATCCACAGAGAGTCATTTTCAGGTTAAAGCTCTGCTTGTAAACTTACTATCTATCATTGTTGGAAGAAAACCTAGTGTACCAAACCTACATGTAGCAGTTGTTCAACAAATGTAAATTTTATTCCCCTATCAAGGTTAATAAATTAACGAATTATGGAGAAAACTAGTCTAGTTAAAAGAAAACTAGTTAAACAAACTAACAAACAAAAAAAACTATAGACAAATTAAATTTTTCAGAGTTTAATTGAGCAAAGAACAATTTGAGAATTAGCCAACCCCCTGAACAAGAATAGGTACAGGGTGACTCTGGGGTTGTCACATGGTCAGATAGTATCTACAGGCAGATAAAGGAAAGTAATGTACAGAAAACAAAAGTGAGATACAGACACAGCTGGAATGGTTACAGCTCAGCATTTGCCTTAATGGAACACATTTTGACCAGTTGGCCATCTGTGATTGGCCAAAACTTTGTGATTAGTACAGGAGAGGATTACCATCTGTTTATAAATCCTATGCAGTTATGTAATCATAACCTAACTGGTTATAATTCACTATATTTGGAGAAATCTTTAGGCTGTACTTAAAATATGTAAGGAGGCAACTTTAAGCTAAACTAAGTTAAATAAACAATTCCTCTCAATTTGAGAG